CAAGGACTCTTTAAATAGGGTATATCTCCAGTATAGTTGGTTCTGCTTTATGTTCCGGCAACGTGAATTGGCTATAACACGACTGACGAATAGGGGAATGCTATTTCTGTAACACGATGCCATCGGTGCGTGGAGGAGTATGCGTCAATATTACATGATCATTTCGCAGGCTTTGTCCTGAGCATGCACGGTGTTAGCGCCAAAAGAGTCTCCGCGCTGGCATCACATGATTGTTTCACAGGCTTTGTCCTGAATACATGCAATGTTGTGTCAAAAGAGTCTCTCCTTCAACCTATGGGCCAGGGTGCAATAACAGCTTTTAAAGCTTATTATTTAGGTGCACATTTAAGAGGCTGATTGCAGCCACTGAGGGGGACAAGGACAGTGTTCTTCAGTTTTGGAAGAGCTTTAACACTAAGAATGCAATTGACATTAGTGTGGAGACCTGCGGTGATGTCAGTAAGGACTGCTTGCATGCAGTTTGGCAGAAGCTTCTCCCAGACTTCTTTCAAGATTTTAAAGGCTTTGATCCATCAGTGGAGCTCCCAAGAATCAAAGAACATTGTGTTGATCTTGCAAAGTAATTTGGATTTGAAGAAGTGGAATGAAGATGTTTAAGAGTTGCTTGAGTCCCACGGTGAAGACCTCTCTACAGCTGATTTACAATAACTTGTCAATGAGGGGCAAGTGAAAGTTGGAGTTGGAGATGAAGATCACGTTCAGGCTGCAGCACCATGAGAGCTTTCCACATCTGTTTTGTCTTCTTTGCTGAGGGAAATTGAGAAGCAGTTGCAGCTCTTAGAGGACAACGATTACAATGTAGGTTCGCAGCAGGATAGCAGTTCACAGAATAAAGTCTTATTTGGCACTCTATGAACAGCTTATTCGTGAAAGAAGGGCAAAGCAGCAAAACTGGATGTCTTTTTTAAGCCAACACCCCAGAAACAGTCAGAAGACAATGAACCACAGCCATCCACTTCAGAATTAACTACTTTTCGCCCTAACCCTGCAACCACAGCTGCAGCTGAAGGTGGTGCCGTGACAACAATGATGACGATGATGATGACAATGATGACCCTCAGCTCCTGCATTAACAACAGAGTAATCTCAAAATCTCCTCCCCCATCAAGTCATCTTTACAGTTTTCAAAGTAAAGTGTTAAATTTAATTTTATTTCATTCAATATGAATTAAAATTTATTCAAACTACTATCCTTTGGGTTAGGTTTTTGAGCGATTTTGGGTGATATTTTTGGTAGTCTGCCCTAACACTGCGTTTCCCATATGCCCCGTTATTTCTATAAGTGCGATTTTTTATAACGCAATGTTGCACAGCAACACAACTATTGCGTTTTGGCAGAACCAATTGTACTGTAAAAATCTTTTGAGATACCAATACATGTGTTGACTTTTCTGTTGAGAGACACAATATTGACCAAGCTTGTTTAAAAAGGAAAAAAAAATTGCTTTTCAAAAGCTCAAAACTTTTCAAAGCGATTTATAGCTCTCAAAGAACTTTTGTCATTATTTTAATGGGAAAGATGGCAGTCAATTTGCATGCAGCAAACTCCCACAAACACCAATATGATGACGACCAGAGAGTTTGTTTTAGTGATGTTGGTTCAGATTGGAAAGAATATGTAATGTGTGGTGGGGAAAAGGAATAATGTTCACTTTGTTTTTGTACCTCTGTTATAGGAATGAGCGGCCATATATTTGTGAATTCTGCAACCGTGGATTTACACAGAAGGGGAACCTGAACGTCCATCGACGGACACATACGGGCGAAAAGCCCTTCCAGTGCCATTTATGTGGGAAAACCTTCAGGATTCAAGGTGGGCAGTTGCCTCCATGAGTCAGATGAAGCTTTGGCCTTTGAGTGTTTACAGCTCCGTAACAGAGGAACCTATACAAAATTCTCTTGGTGATGGTAGAGATGGCAGACTGATCAACTGGTTCTGCACCAATACCATACAGTGTAGTCTTCCCCTGACCTCTGCTGAGTTGTCTGCTGTCTTAGTGCAGCACTGGGGGCTAAGTGTAGGAGACAGTATTCGGAGTTGGCTAATATTCCTGGATTGGCACGTAGACAGCCAGTTATCCAACAATCCTCTGCTTATGCACTCCAGGCTAGGTAATAATACCTTCTCTGCACTAGGCCTAACTATATTAGCTGATATTGGTAAAAATAACAATGAAGCTGTCAGATCATCATTTTAAAACCTGATTGCTCCACTAATCTCCTTTACACAAGAATTAGCAGGAGTAGGCCATTTGGCCCCTTGAGTCCACTCAAATATTCAATAAGATTATGGTTGATCTGATTGTGGTGTCAACACCTGTCTGTCCCTCATAATCCTTGACTCCCTTGTTGCATGAGAATATATACAGACTTGAATATATTCAAAAACTCACTGCTGTCTGAGAAGAATTCCACAGATTACATGTACGTGGGTGAGCAAAAGAGTGAAGATCCAAAGCACAGTGAAAACATGGGACAAAACAATAGGAAGATAGACAGACATGGAGATTGGAAGGCTGTCATCCTGATCCAATTTTGGCCAATATGTGTCTCCAGTCCTCCATCAACATTTGCCACTCAACTGTCCTCTGAAGTGGTTCAAAAGAAAGCCCATCTCAACTTTCTCAGGGCACCTAGGGATGGCTAATAAATGTCAGCTTTGCCAGTAATGCCCACACAGGTAATGAGTAAGGTTAAATCAACTTTTAAAGACAGGACACAAGGTGAAATTAACTTATCTTGTCAGGCTGTTCCAAGAAAATGAGGGCTTTGCCAAAAGAGGGTAAGTTATGGGCTTTGATTTCACTAGCCTGGGTTAAGTAGAAAACACTCAGCTCAATCACAGTGGGATAGAAAGAGCAGCTGATGGGTAAATCATGAGATAAAGATATATATTTAGTCAAATCAAGTGACTTACTGAAGATTCTATTTTGATTTTTGTTCCAGCGAGCTTGGACAAACACAACAGGACTCACACAGGTGAACGGCCATTCAGCTGTCAGGTCTGTAGCCAGACCTTTACAGAGAGGGGTCCTCTCCATCGTCACATGGCCAGCAAACATCAGGAAGGGCGGCCACATTACTGCAATATCTGTGGCAAAACTTTTAAAGGTAATGTTTCATATGTAGCATGGTAAGGCAATATTTTGTTTCCCCAGCCTTTCCTAACATGTTCTAAGAACTTTACTCCATCAGTGAAAACGGACTTGAATACAGACTGGCTGGTATTAACAACATCAACTAAGTTTTAATTTGCAAACTGGGCAGCTAGTCTTTTTTTTTGCATTTTCTTTTCTTACTGCCATCAACTTGACAAATTCCCCCAGAGTTCCCAGTTGCAAACGAGTGATTCTTGCTGGAATCTGCATTTGGAATGTTGCAGGAGGGACAGCTGTGAACTCTGTCCCAGCCACTGTGATTACACAGCGTCTCACTCAAACTCATCTTCCAATACAGTTCAGTTTGGGATGGACAGATTTTTGGTCTCTCCAAATTAAGGGATATGAGGAGTGGACAGGAAAGTGGAGCTGAAACTTGTAAGAACACCAAAATAGAAGCAGGACTGAACAAGTCCAAGAATAACCCGGTATGCAGGAGTGTACCCAGCTCCTGCAGATCTCTACCTGAAACAAAGTCACCCCCTTCAAAGGAGAAGGGGGTGAATATTTGAGGAATGGGGAGAAAGAGAAGCATAGTTGATCAATGCTGTCGCTAAATTTAACTAATTGATCTGTTCCTTCATTTCAGCCATTGATCAGTTGCGTGTACATGTGGGGAGGCACAAAGGGGTGAGGAAGTTTGAGTGCAGTGAATGTGGCTATAAATTCACTCGACAGGTGAGATCCTTCATCTACTGATCAGATTTTAAAATATAAAATTTGCATTTTAGTTCTGCTAATACTGTTGAATTCTCCCAATATTGAGATCAGCCAAAGAGGTTGTTGAGGTAATGAGGGGAAGAGACGAGTACTGCCAGCCAAAGAAATCTGCTATGACTAACAATATAGAGTTGTGAATAGCAGAGTAATTTACAGAAAATCCAGATCAGAAAGGAACAGAAGATTTTGCAGATGGGTTGTGATAAGGGATGGGAGATGGGCTCATGTGAAATATGAACACTAGCAAGGATTGACTGGGCTGAACAGGTGCCCTTTGTTGTTTTACAATTTCTCTGTCATTAACCCACATTAAATCTCAGGACCCATTTAGAACAGCTCTCAATAGGGTGTCACTAAACAGCAACTTTAAAGTCACCAGCTGTGATGAATGTGACAGAATAATGTCTTTTTTGTAATCATAAGTAAAAAATGCTAGAACTGAACAGGAAGGAAGACAGGCTAGTTTCAGAAAATAGGATCATTTTAGGGCAGGACCTTTATCAGAATCCCTGTGTTTTTAATTTCCTGTTCTGCTTGTCCCCTCATGGCTTTGATATTCTCAATAAGCCATTTATCTTCAGCTCCTGCCTCTCATACTGCTTCATAGCTACTAATTTCATCTGTCTCCCACGCAACTGTCTAAGGCTGACTCAGACCACTCGAGTTTAAATCCTTCCATTTCCCCATCCCTCTCCAGCTCGAATACTTTTCCAGTTCTACAATCCTCAGAACGCTGTGTTATCCAGTCTAGCCCTTGTCCATTTCCAAATTACTGTGTCTTATTGTTGGCATCTGGTCCTTCAGCTGTATTGGAACAAAGCTCTGGCGTTCCCTGTCTAAATCTAACCACCTCTTCCCCTGTGAGATGCTCCTCAAAACCTACCACTTTAAATCAAGCTTTTGGTGAACTGCTTTAATAACTTCTGAACCAGAGGGGTACCAATATTCTGGCGGGGGGGAGATTTGCTAATGCTCTTCGGGAGGGTTTAAACTAATTCAACAGGGGGATGGGAACCTGAATTGTAGCTCCAGTGTACAGGAGGTTGAGAGTAGTGAGGTCATGAATAAGGTTTCAAGGTCGCAGGAGTGTACCGGCAGGCAGGAAGGAAGGTGGTTTGAAGTGTGTCTACTTCAACGCCAGGGGCATCCGGAATAAGGTGGGTGAACTTGCAGCATGGGTTGGTACCTGGGACTTCAATGTTGTGGCCATTTCGGAGACATGGATAGAGCAGGGACAGGAATGGTTGTTGCAGGTTCCGGGGTTTAGATGTTTCAATAAGATCAGGGAAGGTGGTAAAAGAGGGGGAGGTGTGGCATTGTTAGTCAAGGACAGTATTACGGTGGCAGAAAGGACGTTTGATGAGGACTCGTCTACGGAGGTAGTATGGGCTGAGGTTAGAAACAGGAAAGGAGAGGTCACCCTGTTGGGAGTTTTCTGTAGGCCTCCGAAAAGTTCCAGAGATGTAGAGGAAAGGATTGCAAAGATGATTATGGATAGGAGCGAAAGTAACAAGGTAGTTGTCATGGGGGACTTTAACTTTCCAAATATTGACTGGAAACACTATCGTTCGAGTACTTTAGATGGGTCAGTTTTTGTCCAATGTGTGCAGGAGGGTTTCCTGACACAGTATGTAGATAGGCCAACAAGAACATTGGATTTGGTACTGGGTAATGAACCAGGCCAGGTGTTAGATTTGGAGGTAGGTGAGCACTTTGGTGATAGTGACCACAATTCGGTTACGTTTACTTTAGCAATGAAAAGGGATAGGTATATACTGCAGGGCAAGAGTTATAGCTGCGGGAAAGGCAATTAGGCAAGATTTAGGATGCATAGGATGGAGAAGGAAACTGCAGGGGCTGGGCACAATTGAAATGTAGAGCTTGTTCAAGGAACAGCTACTGCGTGTCCTTGATAAGTATGTACCTGTCAGGCAGGGAGGAAGTGGTCGAGCGAGGGAACCATGGTTTACTAAAGAAGTTGAATCTCTTGTCAAGAGGAAGAAGGAGGCTTATGTAAAGATGAGGCGTGAAGGCTCAGTTAGGGCGCTTGAGAGTTACAAGTTAGCCAGGAAGGACCTAAAGAGAGAGCTAAGAAGAGCCAGGAGGGGACATGAGAAGTCTTTAGCAGGTAGGATCAAGGAAAACCCTAAAGCTTTCTATAGGTATGTCAGGAATAAAAGAATGACTAGAGTAAGATTAGGGCCAGTCAAGGATAGTAGTGGGAAGTTGTGCGTGGAGTCTGAAGAGGTAGGAGAGGCGCTAAATGAATATTTTTCGTCAGTATTCACACAGGAAAAAGACAACGTTGTCGAGGAGAATGCTGAGATACAGGCTATTAGACTAGACGGGATTGAGGTTCATAATGAGGTGGCGTTAGCAATTCTGGAAAGTGTGAAAATAGATAAGTCCCCTGGGCCGGATGGGATTTATCCTAGGATTCTCTGGGAAGCTAGGGAGGAGATTGCAGAACCTTTGGCTTTGATCTTTATGTTGTCATTGTCTACAGGAATAGTGCCACAAGACTGGAGGATAGCAAACGTTGTCCCCTTGTTCAAGGGGAGTAGAGACAACCCTGGTAATTATAGACCAGTGAGCCTTACTTTGGTTGTGGGTAAAGTGTTGGAAAGGATTATAAGAGATAGGATTTATAATCATCTAGAAAGGAATAATTTGATTAGGGATAGTCAACACAGTTTTGTGAAGGGTAGGTCGTGCCTCACAAACCTTATTGAGTTCTTTGAGAAGGTGACCAAACAGGTGGATGAGGGTAAAGCGGTTGATGTGGTGTATATGGATTTCAGTAAAGCGTTTGACAAGGTTCCCCACGGTAGGCTATTGCAGAAAATACGGAGGCATGGGATTGAGGGTGATTTAGCGGTTTGGATCAGAAATTGGCTAGCTGTAAGAAGACAGAGGGTGGTGGTTGATGGGAAATGTTCATCCTGGAGTTCAGTTACTAGTGATGTACTGCAAGGATCTGTTTTGGGGCCACTGCTGTTTGTCATTTTCATAAATGACCTGGATGAGGGCATAGAAGGATGGGTTAGTAAATTTGCGCATGACACTAAAGTCGGTGAAGTTGTGGATTGTGCGGAAGGATGTTGCAGGTTACAGAGGGACATAGATAAGCTGCAGAGCTGGGCTGAGAGGTGGCAAATGGAGTTTAATGCGGATAAGGGTGAGGTGATTCACTTTGGAAGGAGTAACAGGAATACAGAGTACTGGGCTAATGGTAAGATTCTTGTTGGTGGATGAGCAGAGAGATCTCGGTGTCCATGTGCATCGATCCCTGAAAGTTGCCACCCAGGTTGATAGAGTTGTCAAGAAGGCGTACGGTGTGCTAGGTTTTATTGGTAGAGGGATTGAGTTTCGGAGCCATGAGGTTATGTTGCAGCTGTACAAAACTCTGGTGCGGCCACACTTGGAGTATTGCGTACAGTTCTGGTCGCCGCATTATAGTAAGGATGTGGAAGCATTGGAAAGGGTGCAGAGGAGATTTACCAGGATGTTGCCTGGTATGGAGGGAAGGTCTTATGAGGAGAGGCTGAGGGACTGGAGGCTGTTTTTGTTAGAGAGAAGAAGGTTAAGAGGTGACTTAATAGAGACATACAAGATGATCAGGGGATTAGATAGGGTGGACAGCAAGAGCCTTTTTCCTCGGATGGTGATGGCTAGCACGAGGGGACATAGCTTTAAATTGAGGGGTGATAGATATAGGACAGATGTCAGAGGTAGGTTCTTTGCTCAGAGAGTAGTAAGGGTGTGGAATGCCCTGCCTGCAACAGTAGTAGACTCGCCAACTTTAAGGGCATTTAAATGGTCATTGGATAAACATATGGATGATAATGGAATAGTGTAGGTTAGATGGGCTTCAGATTGGTTTCACAGGTCGGCACAACATGGAGGGCCGAAGGGCCTGTACTGCGCTGTAATGTGCTATGTTCTTGTGCAGCTCTATAACAGTCTTTGTTTAGTAACACTACTGTGAGATTAAGTTAAAAACGTAAAAGCAAATTTCTGTTTGACACCTGCTCACTACTGATGTGCGTTTTGCTCAAATGCAGGCTCACCTGAGGCGACACATGGAGATTCATGGGCGGGTAGAAAATTACAACCCCCGTCAGCGAAGGTTACGCAACCTGATCATCACAGATGAGAAAGAGGAAAGTGCAGAGAGTGACACAAACACAGCAACACGGACAGCCAGCCTACCAGACCAGGTCCTATCCACCACAGCCACAAAGACTAATCAGTGCACTGAAACCCCAGAACTCTTATCTCATAGGTTCACAGGCATTGGGAGTTATCAACTGCAAGAGAATGTGGAGCTGTCCATTGGTATGACAGACATGTACGTTGAAGAGGTCACCATAGTCAAGATATAAAAGAACCTATTGCCTGAAGATGGGGTCAGAACCTCAAACAAATAATTGACTCTTGCTTTGTAAAATATATAAAATAAAATGGAGTTTCTAAATAGTCACTGATCAACACAACCTTCCCTGTATATTTTGTCCACTCACCACCCCGCCCCCCCACCGCTCCGAATTGGCTATGTAACCCCAACGTGCACTGTATAGTGAAGAGGGAATACTGCCTTTTCCAACTACCATTTATCAGATGAAACATTAACTCAGACGCTCAGGGATTTTGAAGATACTGTGTAATTATTCGAAGACGAGCAGTGGTGACCTTTATGGTCCTAGCCCACATTCCCTGTTTAACCAGTAATTCAACAAGCACACAACTGCTCATTTAGCAAATCATGAAATATTGCTGTGTGGAAAGACAAATTGGAATTTTTAAAAAAGTGCCTTTCATGTCTTCAGGACATTGCAAAGCACTTCAAATTAAGTCACTGTCATAGGGAAGCAATCATCCAGTGCACACAACAAGATCCCAAAAACTGCAGTGTGTTAATGACTTTGTTTTTAAAATTTCTTTCATGGGATGTGGATATCACAGGTAAGGCCAGCATTTGTTACCCATCAATAATTACTTTAAAGAAAGTGCTGGTGTACCACTATGGTCCATCTAATAATGAAAGTGCACTTAAAGCACTGTTTCAAAGAGAATTCCAGGATTTCAATATCCACAATGAAGGAGCAGCTACATTGTTCCAAGTCAGAATAATTGCAGGTGTGGTATTCCCATGTACCTGCTGCCCTTGTCCTTCTCGGTGGTCAAGATCATGGGTTTGCAAAGTGCTGTTGGAGGAAGCTTGGGGAGTTGCTACAATGCACCTTGTACATGGCACATGCCGTTATAAATGTGTATTAGCAGCAGAGGGAATGAATGGGGTGCTAATCAAGGGGCTGATTTGTCCTGGATGGTGTCAAACTTTGAGTGTTGTTGAAGTCACACCCATACAGGCAAATGGATAGTATTTCATCGCTCTCTTCATTTGTGCCTTATAAATAAATGTCTGTCAGACTTTGGGAAGATAGCAGGCAAGTTACTTGCCACAGGACATAGCTCCTGATCTGCTGCTGCACCACTATTTATATGGCTGGTCTACTTCAGATTCTAGTCAGTGGTAACCTCCAGGAAATCGATAGTGAAGGATTCAGCTATGGTAATGCTATTGAATGTTGTGGGGAGTTGATTGGATTCTCTCTCGTTGGAGACTGTCACTACCTGGCGCTTGCATGATGCAAATGCTATTGCCATTTAGTCATAGATCAGGAAGACTGTTATTCCAGCTATATCTCACTCCAGATACTGTCCAGCCACAATATTTCCACAATTTTCTGGGTAACTTGTACTTTACAGATGCAACCCACAATCTGCAAAGAGTCAGGTGTATTGAGCCTAACTGGAATAATATGATTCCAACAAAGTTTGACGTACAATTTAGTTGTAGAGCTGTACAGCATGGAAATAGACCCTTTGGTCCAACACATCCATGCCAACCAGATGTCCTAAACTAATCTAGTCCCGTTTTTCAGCATTTGGCCCATATCCCTTTAAACCCTTATTTATCAGATCAAGCTCATGTATAGTGTAGGTCTTGCTGCTTACAGGTGTGAACTGCTTCATTATTGAAGAGTTGCAAATGATATTGGACAGTGTGCAATTATCATCGAACATTTCCGATTCTGCACCTTATGGTGGAGGGAAGGACACAGAATGCAGCTGAAGATATTTGGGTCCAGAACAGTACCTCTAAAAGGCACCATATAGGCTCTTGTGGTAGAGTGATAATGTCCCTACTTCTGATGCTAAAGGCCTAGGTTCAAGTCCCATCTGCTCCAGAGATGTGTAATAACATCTCTGAACAGGGTGACTAGAAAATATCTACCTTAAGGAACTCCTGCAGTAATGTCCTTGGATCAAGATTAACCTCAAGCTATCACTACTACCTTCCTTGTGTTGGACAACAGCATCAACCAGTGGAGAAAATTAGCCCTTTCTCCTTATCCCCATGTAGTGTCGACATTGAAAAAGTACTCCATAAAAGGCAGGCAATGCTGTTCTTTCTTGGTCTGGCCGACACGTTGACCCATTTGCCTTTACGTGGCCTAACAAGTTACTCAGTTCAAAAGTAATTAGGGATAGGTGAGGAATTCTGATATGGGCATTTGTTTTCTTTCATTGGCCTTGCCAGCAAACTTAACTGCAGGGAGACACCTCAAGATTCAGCCAGATAGCCTAACTATACTGACATTGTGGGTGTCACTGCCATCTACTGGTCACATACGCAACCTGCAAAACAATACAGAAAGATTGCATTAGAACGTGAAATCCTGGATATCCTCAGGTCTGGTAGCATCTATGGAGAGATGAGAATTAATTTCTGATTGATTACAATAAAAAAAATTGGAATAGAACTTTAAGATGAATATTGCTGGCAATGAATTAAACACTAAAGACAAAAGCAAAATTACTGCAGATTGTGGAAAAACGAAAAACAAGAAATCCTGGATACATGCAACAGGAGCATTAGGTGTATTCATTCAGCATTTTTATTCAAGGATATAGTATCCTTTAATGCAGCTGAATACTCAAATGGTAAAGCAATAGACAAGAAAAAAAGGCTGGATTGAGATATAGAAGTAATGGCAAATTTGTCTGGCAAAGTTATTGACAGAAATTACAGGGTGTTCGAAAAAAAGTTTGTACATCCCTGCAGGAAATTAACTTCTGGTCAGAATAATTACTGTCCAAACACAAAGTGTGGAAAAAAAAACACAACTTTCTCCATTTCCCCTTCATTCCACAGGTCACAAGCAACCTCCTAGAGCCTCAATCAAAATTTCACCTTCATTGGGAGAGAGCGCCATTGGACATCAATGCAGCCCAAGCCTGTTTCCAGCATCTAAATAAGTGACAGACAACAGAAACAGAAATGCTGGCTGAGTTATTTTTATCTTCTGAAAGATCATGTGGCGGTGCTCAAAGATGACCAAGGAATGATCAATGTGTGGTGAGCAACATGCTACTCAATCAGCAACAAAAATAATAGATTAACTGGTTGTTGCTTGCAATCGATCTTGCAGTGTAGAAAATAGTTGCTGCATTTGATAACCATAAAAAGGCACTACACTTGAGAATGAAATAATGGAACAAAAATACAAATATTTTCTCAATGGGAATGGCATTGGAGTCGCTTCACATTTATTTCATGCTCATGCTGAGACAACAAGGAGAATTTTATCCACAAGTGCATTAAAAGAGACAAACCCTACCTTAAGTCCATATTAAACTATTCTGACTAAAACAAACCAAGCTAACTCCTTCAGAGTAGATAGACATTTTATTTTAGTGGATTTTGTGTTGTACAACTTCTCAATGTAAACTACATGTTTGTGTACAATAAGCCACAACATCTCAAATAAAACAACACGCATTAAAAACTCAGAAACAAAACCAGGAAGTGTTTAGAATTCACAGAATCTCGAAAGGAAAACCACATGTCCTACCTTGAAAACTAAAATGTATCAATTTTCTCCTTCAAGTTGTCTGTATTTAGACTCAATATTAAATGGAGATTTTGTTCAGATTCAGACATGTACTTAAAAATGGAACCACCCATTCTCTAACAACTGAAAGTTTATCCAAATGGAGTTAAGCTTAACAAAAAACATCAATTCTATCCTTGGTGTGTATATCAAGCTTAACACAGCCACCATGTATTGAATTTGTTTCGGTGCCTCAGACTAAGGAGGAGGGGAGGGAAAAAAAACAGGCTATTGTTGCTAATTGTATTTGCTGGACAAGGACAGCATCAGTCCTGACTGCAGCCAAATAAACTGCCAAAATGCACATGAGGAATGGTCAAGATGGGCACGAGGAGCAATCACTGCTGTGTTCTGTGCCTCAGAGAGGCAGTGCCTTCAGGGTAGAAGTGGGGAAAGGGAAAATGTAGAAAAATAGAACTGCTGTATTTCTGAACAAATTACTTCAAACAGTTGAACTTTGAACAATGTCAGCAGCAAATAATGGATAGAACATGAAATAAATATCAAGTTATCTCAAATAGAATAATGGGAATATTTACTTCCAGGTTCTAAAAACTGCAAATGAACAACCATGTCTTTCTATTTGGCGGCATATTTTGAATGTGTGATTCTTGAATATTTAATTGCAAACCCTCTATTTCTACTGCTTTATAAATAGAAATATATATAAAACTAAATATATATATCCGATACCCTCTGTCCTCTCAGAAATGGAGAGGATAGACGAGCTATTTTGGAACAAGCTGGCAGTGTTTCTAGAAAACGGAGTGGAACTCCTTGATATGTATTCTTCCTTCCAAAACTGAGTTTTTTTCACCCTTGTGAAATTCTAACAAGCCTGCTACAGCTGAAGAGGGTGGGGTTGGTGATGGGGCAGCAAATTTGAGGCAAATTAAAACATATCCCACAGGATTAAAGTGCACCAGTACCAACTTGCCATCTCGAAGGCAGCAAGACCCCAATTCTACATTCCAAACAAGCTTTCTCCACTGCACAGATTTGCTCAACTTAGTGTCAGAGATTTTAATCGGGTTAGATCCAGCCTTAAAATGCAGCAATCAGTACCTTCAAAGGGTTGTTGGCAAGCTTTTTCTGGAGCTAGTCATTGCCAATCCTTTTACAGACTTAGCATACCTTCCAACTGGAACTCACATTGCAACTTCTTTGCGTAAACATTAAACACTGGATTGTATGTCTTCATTAAAACCCAGTAAATAGCACATGGTGTTCACCTGGTACTTCACTATATCCCAACACGGTCATAAAACAAAACTTAAAAATTAGTAAAAATATAGTTGACTTTCCAGGGCTGGAACAAAATAGGAAACACAAAATAGTATTTGTGCTCAACCGCTATCTGCCTGTGCAGATCAGAGCCTCAAGAATCCTACAGGACGATTTCTCCGGCTGTCTGGTTCTCTCCAAAACTCATCCTTCAAATTACCAGTAATACCGCATTAACCTTGTTGCTGTTCATGTGTTCACACTGTGTACAAAATGGCTGCCTTATTTCCTTACATTGTTGCACTTCAAAAGTAAATTAATTGCAAGTGAAGCATTTTGTGATGTGATCTGGCATTACTTAAAGGCAAGTCTTTCTTTTTCAACCAATGCTTAGCAACAAGCATGTGGCCATAGGAGAAGACAAAATTGTCACATCTCCTAACTTAACAGAATCGGTCAACAGATACAGTGAAACCTGCCAGACTAAACATAGACAGCAGCCAATGAATGGCACAGTTGTATTAATTTGAACTATTTCAGTCAACACCCAATTCAACAGGGAGCAGTGACTGCTTTTGGTCCAACAGGGACAATTTTTAAAATAAACTGGGAAAGGGCAATGTCCAATTGACATGTGCCAGTCCAGAATTAGATGGCGAGCTTTTGTAATGTGTTAGAAATCTGCTGGTTTTGGAGAGAATCCAAGCGGGTTTCACTGTAGCCGATATCAGTCTTTACTCCAGTCTAAACAGTGCTATAGGCGGAGGTTCTCATTGTGAAGGTGTCTTCGATACCGAGCTAGATTCAGGGCATTTATTTCATTGTTATGGTTGTCGTTCAGGGTCCCTTCAAAGGTAACTTGGGCGGTGGGCATGAACTGTCGGAAGATGCTGACAGTTCCATGCCAGAAGGTGGGCTGTGGGAGTCGTCCTACTACGCTCCAGGAACCAGTCTGAAAGTCATAGCTTTCGATTATGTCGGATAGTTCAAACGTGTTATCGTAGCCGCCAGACACAACCAACTTCCCTCCCAGAGCAGCCACACTGCCCCCAACATGGACCTGCAATGTAGGAAAAAAAAAGTTAAACATACAGATTCAAAATAGGGAAGCATCCTACACTGCACAGAAACTAAAAGGAGGGGTATACTTCAGCCATTCAGCATCCTCAGTTTCAGAATTTTCATCCTATTTTCCAAATTCCTCCATTGCTTTGCCACTTCCTAGTTTCATCCAGATATACACTAGTCTTTCCCATCCACCTCACCTCCAACCACCCAGTTTTCCCCTTCCTTATTCCTCCTACTCTGCTCAGATCAGCTCCTACTACATTCTGGGACTCGGAGGTTGGTCAATTCAGATCGAGTGCAAAATGTGACCTGATTTGAATATAGCTGGTCACGCTGTACCACCCATCCTACAACTACTATCTCCCCACCTCCAAAATGCACGCGCACACACACAGTACCTGATTCATGGGTGGAATTTTGTCCCATTCGTTCTTTGTTGGGTTATACACATCAACCTCTGAAGAATCATCCCTGTGGAGAGAAGAGGAAGAGAATGCGTTTAGCAATCAGTCCAGATGCCACCAGGATAGAATCATGAGCATAACAGAAGATGCATTCACAGACAGTCCACATAAAGCTCTTCAACACAACTCATGCCTTGTATTTTACTCACATTTTGTCCTGTTCCACGAGAGAAAACAAAACTTGCATTTATACAGAATCATTCACAGCCTCAATATCCCGAAGTGTTTTAGAAGCAATGGAGTCATTTTGATGTGTAATTGCTGTTGTATATATTTTCCATTCAATCTGTTCAAGAGATGTTATCACAGAGTTCTGGAACAGGTGAGATATGAATCCAGGCCTCCTGGCTCAGAGATAAGGACACTACCACGGCACTGGTTGGCACAGTTGAGTCGGGCCAAAAAGTCCTTTTCTGCACTCTATGTTGCAATAATCCCTTTTTAATTTTTTTTTTTGGGGTGGATGGTGGGGTGGGGAAACAAACCATTCCTGTAGCATCCCTACCACTCAGACTACGTATAAACGTTAGGTTAAAGTTTGTGCTGTGTTACAACCCCTCTGGTCCTGTGATCCACTAGCCCACTAATACTCTATTTGGGCTCACAACTAGACAGGAGACTCTTGAAGAGAGGTACTGGCATATGTGGAACTATAACCAAGCAAGCTTCAAGAGAGAAGGAAGAAACCTGGCAGGAAAACAAAGTTAATATGAATCAGAATTCCTGCAGTAAACAACACGATTAGATAACAGTTGTTACTGATGTTGGAAAACAGACTCCCTGTGTCTAACTTATTCAGGTCCACTTGTTTACTGGGTGAGCGCTTGACTGTGGCTGACAGCAGCAGGTGGTGTAGCAGCTCCTGACTCCTTCCATTGGATGACCAGACAGAAAATGAGACAAGAAAAAGTGTTTTTTTTCTTTCTACACAATGAGTTGTGATCTGCATTTCACTGCCAGATTCAGTAGCAACTTTCAAAATGGAAACTGGCTAAATACTTAAAGGATAGTGAGGAAAGGTCAGGAGAGTGGAACTAATTGGAGAGCTCATTTTTTAAAGAAATGGCATAGGAATGATGAACTGAATTCATCTGTGTTGAATGCTGCCATGAAACAGACACAGCTGTTACATGTTAAAAAGAAATAGATGCTGAAAGGAGATCAAGGTCATTTAGACTGCAGACGAAAATTTCACCAAACATGAAGCCCACAAATTGCAGACCGAATGTAGTGTGGTCAGTGGAAACTAGACAACCAGAGTCACTCAATTAATGGGAGCTGTCCTAGTATAGGAGAGCTTTACATTTCAAGCTGCACATGGGGCCCAGCCTGCGTTTCTCTTCGATTCATGTCATTTTGACCAATCCTGGCTCAGATAATAATAAATCGGGCAGGGGGGACAGGAAGCAGTTGGAGTTTTACCACTGATCAGACTTGCTCTACCAAAGATTCACATCCTCACTGGCTCACTTGGGTGAACAGATAGACACAGGTCACTGCATGTAAATCTGTCACTATTAACTCCCAAGTATTTCATATTGCTAATACGAACAGGTCTTGGTTAGGATTCGGAAAATATTAATATTGTGGTGGTGGATACTGTTTAACAATAAAACTTTCAAAAATGAACTGAATAAGTACAAAGGAGAATATCTGAAGGGCAACGGGGAAAGAGTGGGGGAGTGGGATCAACTAGATTGTTCTTCAAAAACAAATTGGTGAAGGCATGATGAGCTGACTAGTCTTCTTCTGGTGCTGTACTGTTGTAAAACTTACAACATTGGCTGTAATGGCTTTGAGATGGCCAAAGACCACAAAAGGTGCTATACAAATGAAAATTTTGCTCTTTTCACCAAGGAAAGAAATAATCCCAAGAACAGCCCTTCCAAAATACTAAGACTAATTAAATCACAATAAATCAGTTGACAAAAAAAAAGTGCCGATTCAATAGAATTTCTTGGTCAAGAATCAACTCAAGGATCACGAGTCATAGTTCAGACACCTCTTGTTCTGGTGATAAAAGGCCAGCTGGAATTAGATATAGTATGGGAAGAGAGGAAGAAAATGCAAAACAGATATCTAAAATAATGAAAGTATGAGAGTCACTGGTATAAACGTCACAACCTAGCTATCAGCGATTTGCTGGGAAGCCTGTGATTTGATACAGAAGCCCAGTCATTTGAAAGTGATCTCAGAGTCAGAGTCAGAGTCCTACAGCAGGGAAACAGACCTTTCAGTCCAACTCGTCTGTGCCAATCAGACATCCCAATCTGACCTCGTCCCATTTGCCAGCATTTGGCCCAATTCCCTCTAAACCCTTCCTATTCATGTGCCCATACAGATGGCTTCTAATTGTAATTGTACCTGCCTCCTCCACTTCCTCTGACAGCTCGTTCCATACACGCACCACCCTCTGAAGAAGTGAACCCTCAAGTCCATTTTAATTCTTTCCCAGCTTACCTTAAAAACTTATGTCATCTAGTTTGCAGTCCCCCACCCTTAGAAAAAGACCCTGGCTATTCACCCTGTTCATTCCCCCCATGATTTTATAAACTGCTATGAGGTCACCTCTCAGCCTCTGACACTCCAGGCTTATTCAGCCTCTCCCCATAGCTCAAATCTTTCAGTCCAGCAACATTTTGAGAGGGTGCAGAAAAGATTTATCAAGTTTAACAACATCTATAGGAGGGCAACTGAAATTGTATGATTTGTTCCAAACGTGACCTCACCAACTTCCTAGCCTCACTAAATGTCCTGTACAACCACAACATGACGTCCCAACTCTTATACTCAAAGTTCTGACAAGTGAAGGCAAGCGTACCAAACACTTTCTTCACCACCCTATCTACCTGTGACTCCACTTTCGAGGAGCTATGCACCTGAACCCTTAGGTCTCTTTGTTCAGTAACACTCTCCAGGTGTACAAGTCCTGCCCTGGTTTGCTTTACCAAAACGCAAAACCTCACATTTATTTAAATTAAACTCCATCTGCCACTCCTCAGCCAGTTGGCCCATCTGATCAAGCTCCCATTGTACTCTAAGATAACCTTCTTCACTGTCTACTACACCACCTATTTTGCTCTCATATGCAAACTTACTAACCGTACCTCTTATGCTGACATACAAGTCATTTATATAAAATGATGAAAAGCAGTGGACCCAGCACTGATCCTTGTGGCCACCACTGGTCACAGGCCTCCAGTTGAAAACATAACCCTCCACCACCACCCTCTGGCTCCTACCTTCAAGGCAATTTTGTATCCAGTTGGCTAGCTCTCCCTGGATCCCACGTGATCTAACCTTACTAACCAGTCTACCATGCGGAACCTTTGTTGAACACTTTACTGAAGTCCATACAGATCATGTCCACCGCTTTGCCTTCATCAATCCTCTTCGTCACCTCTTCCCAAAAAAAAAAACCCCCTCGATCAAGTTAGAGACATGATTTCCCATGCACAAAACCACGTTGTCACTAATCAGTCCTTGCCCTTCAAAATGCATGTAAATCCAGTCCCTCAGAATCCCCTCCAACAACCTACCCACCACTGACTTAAGGCTCACTGATCTATAGTTCCCTGGCTTTTCACTACTACCTTTCTTAAATAATGTCACCACATCAGCCAACGTCCAATCCTCTGTCACCTCACCTGTGGCTATTGATGATACAAATATCTCAACAAGGGGCCCAGCAACCCACAAAGTTCTGGGAAATACTAGATCAAATCCCAGAGATTTATTTTAAGAACTCCAGCACCTCATCCTCTGTAATATGAACTCTTTTGAAGACATTATTTATTTCCCCAAGTTCCCTAGCTTCCATGTCCTTCGCCACAGTAAATACGGAGGTAAAATATTTGTGTAGTCTCACCCATCTCCTGTGGTTCCACACACAAATGGACATGTTCATCTTTAATGTACCTATTCTCTCCCTCTCTGGATTCTCCTTAATTCTATTAGCCAAAGCTATCTCATATCCCCATTTTGCCCTCCTTATTTCCCCAAGTATACTCCTTCTGCCCTTATACTCTTCTAGAGATTTACTCAATCCCAGCTGTCTACCCCTGATAGAAGTCTCCTTTTTTCTTGACCAAAGCCTCAATTTCTCTAGCCATCCATCATTCCCTAACTTACCAGTTACGCCTTTCACACGAACAGTTGAAAATGAAAGCATCTCGACACCCTTTTCACATTACACCCCATACACTGAAAACTATAGTCATACAGTTGGGGGGAGGCCATTTGGCCCATCAAAATAGTGCAGCTCAACAAAATAAGGAATCTAGAATGAATTAAATCACTACGAAAAGTCTAGAAATAAGCCCAAAGGAGAGACAATTATTCTCCTTAATCAATGAATAATCCAATCACAACATATAAAGCTGCAAAACTATCAAAGGGAGGAAAGCATAACACAGTGGGTCTGTGATTGCATGCCTGTGGATAGAAGAGAAAGGGTAGTGAACACATGCATGGAATTAGCAACTGATAGGACCATGCTGTGATGGCAGCACAGTTGCATAGTTTCAAATATAACAGTGTGGAGCTGGAGGAACACAGCAGGCCAGGCAGCATCAGAGGAGCAGGAAAGCTGACATTTCAGGTCGGGACCCTTCTTCAGATTTCTTACTATCTCTGCACAGTCTCAAACTTATCCGTCATGCATACAAACCAGGGTGAGGCACCTGTGCAGCTGCTCTGCAACATGAGGAGTAGAGAGTAAACTTTACTCCCAAAGGTTCACGACATTCCTGTTTACAGATGTTCCTTTTACGCAAGGGCAACCCCATCCCACACAGTGTAACCAATTTAAACTCACCGCACAAAATATATCAGTCCATTGAGTGTCACTGTCTTTGGCACAAATGACCATGGAGGTAATGAACCGCAAACCACAACACTCCACGAATCAATCTCAGGGTCATAGCGCTGAATGGCCATTGATTCTTTGCCAGCAAGTGTGCCAATGGCATAGAGTTTTCCCCGGCAGGCTGTACTTGAGCAGTTGTCCATGGGGAAGGGCATGGGTCGCAGGGCCTCCCAGCTGTCGAGGCTGTGATCATAGCGCTCCAGGCTGTTGTGGGCAATGATGTAGATATGGCCTTTGAGTACCACAGAGCTGTGATACTCTCGGGCTTGCAGCATGGGCGAAACCTCTGTCCACTCGTTCACACTGGAATTGTAACGCCATACACAGTCATACAGTGATGTCCCATCAGAACCACCTATTGGACAAAAAAAAAAAAAAAAAAAAAAAAAAAACAGACATAATGAAGGCAGCACTCATTGACTGTCCTTTTCCCTCCTGGGATCGATTGGTCATTCTCCATGTTAGTGGGTGGCACTCTCACCTCAGAATCTGAAGAGTGCGGTCTCACTTGACAGGCTAATAAGTTAACACTCGCAGTGCCAATTCTGGTGTGCTGCACTGTCGGAAATGCCATCTTTCAGATGAAATTTTAAACCAAGCTCCTGGCTGCCCTTCCAAGTAGACGTAAAAGATGTATGGAACTGCTTTGAAGAACAACAAGGGAGTTGTCCTTGGCACTGGGGCCAATATTTATTTCTCAATTAACAACGCTAAAAACAGAATATCTGGTCACCATCACATTACATTTTGTGGGACCTTACTGCGTGCAAATTTTCAACATTACATTTCAAAAAAATACTTCATCGGCAATAAAATCCTTTGGAACACCAAGGCTATGAAAGGTACTACATAAACACAAGTCTTTCTTGATGTGGGCCAAAATGGGCTATCAGACTGTGGCAACATCAGAAACAAGCTCAACAGCCAAAGTCGCACACTTTTCATAGCAGTTTACAGCTCAGTGATTTGCCTTTATGCCCATTGCATTTGTGCTGTATGAAAAATCTGAAACTCATCCCACTTCCTTCCTTTGTTTCAATTAATCTGATTTTCTCCTTAAATGTTGCAATGGTCTCTGCCTCAACCACTCCCTGGGGTGAAGTATTTCATCCTCCAATTGCCCCTCAGTGGCAAGAGAGGGTTTTGAAATTCTATTCTCATTCTCAGTGAGGAAAATTGGTGATCCTGATCATGAATTCCCTGATTTGAAGTAGTCTTCCCTGTTCACTCTAAAGCAAAACTATTCATTGTAAAGCCCTTTTAAATCTCTTGGCTCCCACCAATCCCAGTATCTCCAGTCTCTCCTCAAAACCATTATCCTCCTTCTTAGCATCACTATCATGGTGACTCTAACTCTATATTCTTTAATTAGGTCCCTATAATCATTCAGTGCAACTTTTGACCTGTCTTTTATAAAAAAATGATAATTTCACTCTTTTTCCTTGACCTTTATGATCTTGTTTATAAAATGCAAAAGCTTGCTTCTAACAAGTTTCAATTACCAACTCAGAACAGACCACTGATATCCTCAGGGACGGGTGTCCTGCTCCAACAAAACAACATTTAGCCTTTAACATTCCCCTTGCTCCTCAGGGAGCATTAATCCTCCATGTGGTGTCTGTTTACAGGTGCCCAGGAGCTGTCTCCCAAGCTCTGCGTGGTAAAGTTCAAGCAAGAAGACAGCTCGCAGCAGAATGCAGCACCCTGAGGTGTCAGAGCTGCAAACAGCCCCAGCTTATAACCCGCTAAACCCTAGCATGGTCACAAACTATCACGGAAAGATTTTTAACCCGTGGAGATGTCATTTACATCTTGCCTCACTGGTAGCTGCTGATAATAAATAAATTCTCAGTGACATGGATTTCACACAGTAAAAATAGCTGTATGATCTGCCACATTAACATGATCTGTATGTAGAGTGAATACAGACAGGGAGGACTGAAATAGGACATCACTTCCCATCAATGTCACTTCATCAACCTCAAAGCAAAGCATTAAGAATTGAGAGAGAAAACAGGGACAGATTCAACACTATCTCAGAAGAGTTCTAGAGTTATAACGGTATGGTATTATTAAAACACATGCAGAATTCTGCCTAGCCATCTTATACATTCAGAAACAGCACTTTTAAATGCTGAAAACCAGTCAGCTTGTCACCCACATTGAGGGAGCTGTCCTTTTAAAAAGCTTACAGTCCATCCTGCAGGTCAAGACCACCTTTAAGATGGTTGCTGCTTAACAAGTGAATGTATACCAACATGGGTTTGGTTTGGATTGTGCCATTAGAATGCCCATGAAGCTAAAGCACACTCTCTGGAGAAGCAGCTTAACTATCCAGGGCAAGGGATGGACAATAAATACAAGCCTTTCCAGCAACACTCACATTCTTACTTACAACTATTCAAATGTCTTCAACTGTTTTTACTTTCAACATCTGTTGTTGTATGTTGTGTTCATTTTATCAGGTTTGTGAAGTGATTCTGCTAAAGATGACTGACTTAAGCATCAGCTGTGACTCAGTGATAGCCTCTATTCCTGGAACCAAAGATTGAGGCTGGAACCCACAGCCAAGTACTTGAAGACACACCACCGTGCCATGTACTGAAGGGGTCCGGCACCGTCAGAGGTGTAGTCTTTCACATGAGACTTCAGTCTTGTTAGGCCATAAGACATGGGAGCCTTATTCCTATAACTCTTGATTCCCTTAATGATTAAGAATATTCAAGGCTGAGAGAAAGAGATTTCTAAAGTCCCAACCTTAACAGCCCTCTATTAAGAATGCCACAGATTCACTACCCTCAGAAAAAAATTCCTGTTTTCCTCAAAGACTCCACTTCATATTGTGGAAGAGCAGGGTAATTCTCCCTTACATTGTATTCCCTTGAATGATGGGGATGATCTAAGAGATATGTACAATGATCAAAGGATTCAATAGAGAGAGAAACTACTTCCTTTAGCAACAGAATCCAGGAACACAGAAGGTTATTGGGCCCATCACAGGCTCTTGGAAAATCTATCCAAATTAGTCCCACTACCCTGCATTTTCCCCAGTGACTGACAACATCCTTCTTTTCTAGTATGTAAGCTGCTTCCACCAACTTTTCAGACAACACATCTCAGATCAGAACAGTGTACATTAGAAACATTACCCATCTTTTACCAATTATCTTAAATCCATGTTCCCTGGTTACTGACCCTCCTGTCAAAGGAAGAAGTTTCACCTCATTTATTCTATTAAAACCTTTCATAACATTTAATACATCTCTTAAATCTCTCCTTAAAACTCTGCTTGAAGGGAATAGCCCAACTTCTCTAGTTTCTCTATACCACTCCTGTACCCCATCCAGAAGCACTACAACCTGAAAATTAGAGTCAAGCTATTCAGAAGCAAAACGAGGATGCAATTTTTCACTGACTTCTATGACCCATGAAATTTATTTAATCAATTCAGTAGAGGGCCAGCTGAAGCTTTCATGATGGTGGCAAAGCAGTAGTGCGGGATGCAGGATTCCGCCCAGGGCTCATCTGCTCTGGTTGGTTAATTTTTTTTTCTTATTTCACTATTTTGTTTTTCTTACTTTAATCTACTTACTTTCTGTGGAGAGTGAGTTTGTGCAGCGCAGAGGAGAGTGAGCCCCAGTGCAGTGAAGTTGAGCCATCATGGGGTGAGCGAGCCCAACATGGCAGGGAATGAGGTCCCCCAACACCTGCAGCGGTGGCGAGAACAGGCCCGAGGTGGCAGTGACTGCAGTCAGCCCCAAGCTGCAGTTGGCGTGGACTGGAGGTGTGGTCTGGAGGCAAGGCCCGGCACGGATTGTGAGGAGGATTGTAAAGCTGAACTTTTATTTATTTTTCTAATTTATTTCTAAGATTTTGTACCTACGTACCTTGCACCTAAGATGGTGGGAAGGTCTGTAATGCTGAACTTTTTATTTCTAAGATTCTGCAAGCAAGTACTTAAGATAGCGCCATAAGTGGCGACTTTGTAAACATTTCACTGCACTCCTGTGAATACATGTGACAATAAACGTAATTCTAATTCTAAAGAGTTACAGCTGTTTTAAAGAGATGATAGATACAATTGGTTGAATCCTTCTGTGTTGCAAGATTATCACAGGTGAAGTTTTTTTGGTTTAAGAATGTGAAAAAGACTTGGATTAAGGCAGGTTGGGGTGCTGACCTACCGTACCTAATGGAATAGGAAGATATTTTAGTTCGGGGGTACCACCCTTCCCTCTGAACCAGAAGCTCTGGGTTCAAGTCCCATTTTAGGATTTGATGGCAACAGAAAGTAGGTTTATAATGCAGTAAAACAGAATGATTATTGACTTGCAAAGTCTTCCGGTTCACTTATGGCAGGTGGTAAAAGCGGTAGGGTCTCCTGATCAAGCATGCTTGATGCAGAATGATGACCTTCAACATAGCTTCAGGCAACAAGCTAAAGACCTGTTCCAGGCAAAACTAGTTATGGAAGCAAATATAAATATGTACCTTATCTACCCCAGGCGCCTAAAGGGATGGAAAAGAAATAAAAGCAAGATATTTAAAGAAATGGTAGCAGAGAGGGAATAGGCCTACTCCCGTTCCCTAGGCAACAGGAACTCGACTCAAGTAGTTTAGCAGCGGAGAAGCCCCACTCCCTTACCGGTCACATAGATGTCGTTTCCGAAGGCGGTGATGCTGTAACCTCCGGCTAAGTGGTCAGGGAACTCGGCCAAGTACCGCCAGTGTCCGGTCAGCGGGTTGAAGCAGTCGACGGTGACCAGCTCGTCGCAGTCCTTGTCGCAGCCGCCGACCACCACCAGGATCTCGGCCAGGCCGGTGGAGGGCCGAGCCCTCATCCTCTCGCACGGGTAATCGTGGCGATCGTACTCGGAGGACTGGAAGGCCCGGGCCTGGTGGATGAGCTGCAGGCAGCGGGGTGAGTAGTAGACGAACGGGTCGCTCTCCACGTACGCGAGCAGGTAGAAGCGGCGGATAAACGGCAGCCGCACGTGCTCGAAGAGCTCGGGCCAGAAGCGGAGGCGGCGCTTGGAGTCGGCCTTGACCCAGCGCAGGGCCAGCTGGTAGGCCGCCTCCTCCTTGTCGACGTGCAGCCGGTCGTCGGACAGGTACTCGAGCAGCCGGCGCTGCGGCAGGGCCTCGAACTCCTTCTCGGCGGACAGCTCGACGATGTGGCGCAGGATGAAACGTTTGGCGTTTTCGGCCAGGCCGCGGCAGGCGTAGGCCTCGGCGAACTCCTGGATCTCCAGGCAGTTGGCCACGTCCAGCTGCCGCTCCAGGTAGGCGCAGCAGGCCTCCTTGACCGAGGGGAACTGGAAGAGATCGGCGGCACGGGCCAGCGGCTCCACGTTGCCCTGGGTGACGGTGACCTGGCCGGTGTAGGAGAAATCCAGCAGCAGGCTCAGGATCGGAGCCTTCACCCCGTGCAGCTCCACCCGCTCGGCGTAGCTCTCCTTCAGGCGGCCCGCGAACATGGCCCTGAAGTAGTGGCTGGCGGCTGCCAGCACCGTCCGG